CTTGGGGTTCTTAAGTTGAATCTGTATGTAAGTCAGAACTGGCAGTCAGTTTCAGCAGCGGCTGAATCTGGACGCCAGTTCCGACTTACATACAGATTCAACTTAAGAACAAACCTACAGTCCCTATCTTGTACGTAACCCGTAACCCGGGGACTGCCTGTACTACAAAAGTGTTCACACCTGGGGAACACCCAACAGCCAAAATGCAATCAGTCTGGAAACAAGTTAATAGATCATTAGAGAGAACAATAGGTCTTTGAAGATACTAATCTCCCACCTTCCTGAGAAGCTTTATTAGGATGCTACATACAATCTCTGATTCATGGCTGCTGTGACACTCAGGGTCATATGATTAAATCACCTGGCACTGGACTCAGTGACAGATTACCAGTATTTTTCCACTGGGGGGCACACTGGAAAACAAAAGGTTCTTGCAATATGTAAAACCTATTCAAGGCAGGGAAGTGAGATAAACAGGGTTCTTTCTTTACTGAATCTCTGCCCAAGCTGACTGTTTGGAAGATCTAATACAAGGACAAAAAGGTGAGAGTGGAAAAGAACTGAGTCCAGGCAGGAAAAGGTGGCCTGTAAAAGAAATACTTGAAGTTGTAAACTGCAAGCAAGAGCAGCGTGCCTTCAAGAATATGCTTAAAACAACACTTCGTAACCAGTTTCTTTAGTATCCAAGTTTGTATTCTGTTTTGGTTTTGTTTGCTGGGTAATCTGCTTTGATCTGTTTTCTATCCCCAATAATTACTTAAAATATATCTTCTGTAGTTAATAAACTTGCATTGTTTTCTCTCAAATCAGTTTGTGAAATTCCTAACTGGGAGACATAAAAGCTGAGCATATCTTCATCCAATTTGAGGAAGGATGCAAATTTCATGAGATTACATGGCACAGTTCTCTGTGCATTGCAAGACAGTACAATTTTGGGTTTCCACTTGAGACAGAGCATGCACTTGAATGCTTGGCAATTCCTTAATTGAACATCTTCCCATACAGTGCAGTCTG